TATAACAATATTCAAATGTTCACCCCAACGTAGGTGGAGGTCGTCGTAATGAGGTGAAGCATTACGGAAACGTTATTGATCCGGTGCGTTGTCACGTTAGAATTTATAAGAAGTACGTGTCGCTGTGTACCAAAGAAGGGAATTTAAAGGGATTTTATTTGCAGCCCCTCCGAAAATACGAAGAGTCGTTTAAAATCTGCTTCAGTAAACATCCGTTAGGCCACAACTCATTGAAACTGGTTGTATCGGAGTTATTTAAAGCAGCGGGGATAGATGGGAATTTTACCAGCCACAGTTTACGAGCTACAGCAGCTACTAGTCTCTATGAAAGAGGTATTGATAAACAGCTTATTATGATACGTGCAGAACATCGTTCAGTTGAAAGTAAATACACTTGTATTACAAGCAATATCATCTTCCCAATTGCCAGACATTCATGTACCGCTAAAAAAATTTAAAATGAAATGGTCAAATGTCTCGGCAACGATTTTAGTTTGATGATGTGTTGATACTGGGCCACTTCCAATGACATCGATAGAATAAAAAACAAATGTATTGTCGTGTTGTGTGGGCATCATCTCAATATTGTACGAGAACTAACTTTGTCCTTTTTTTTTCAAAAAGAGCTCGTAGCTATAAATTATCGTCCCAGAAGACGAATGTCGGCAATACTTTAAATGGTGCAAGCTCGTCTTGTTCAGATCAAGACGTTTCAGTTTCCAGGAAGTTGAAAACCAGCACAAATAAATATGAATCATTGAATGTTTACAACAGTGTTTTCAATATTACTAGACTGAAATCAATTGATTTCATTGATAGTTACAAATCTATGTAATGATTATGATGTGCCATGATGTAATCAATATTCATGAATGTTTTTGTTTGCATGTTTATTCGAAGTAGTTCGCGATATCATTCATAGGCTTCGTCGCGAAATGATTTCACGACCGTACTGACGGAGTGATAAATTCAAGGCAGGATATCAGAAATTACTGATATAAATTACTGATATCCTGTCAAGAACGGGGGAAGGGGGTCAATATCCTCGACATGCAAGATGTTGACCTCCTTCAAAATATCGCCCCAATACTAGATCATTATCAAAAATATGATATGATACTCTATTGTGCGGGGAACTCAGTTTGAGATTTGTATTTTTTTTTTATTTCAATTTGTATGTATGTATGTTTTTTATGATGAGATCATGGGAAAAGGCGTTGTTCATGTGGGCGGCGCAATTGTTATGATCTCATCGAGGTACTCGGAGCAAGCAATGACGCTCATTTCCAAAAAAAATGTTTTAATTAACAAAGCCAATACAAATAAAATAATCTCACATGTACATTGACTTATAAAAATGGCAAAACTTTTACAGTCGTGTATTTTATCTGGTCATCTACAATGTTGATAAAAGTAAAATCCATCAAGGTCTGATTCGTCGGTATCGTTCACAAATGTTTGAAGGGCGTCTGTGATGTCTTCACCTTCAAATTCTGTGTCACTGACTTCGCCCAAAAAATCAACTTCGTTATTTACTTCTTCAGAGTTGGCTTCCATGGCTAACACCTCTAGAAGTTTGCTGTTCAGTGACTCCATCATTAGCGGTTTGGTATTCACAGCAGTTTTCGTTTCCTCGACGGCGGCACTCACAAAGGTCCGGTAAAGGAAAATATAAACTGACCAAAAAAGTCCGGCTAAAGCAGCCAGTTTGCGGCAACAAAAATACATTTCGAAGCCTTGTCATTGCCATAACAACAAACCACGTGGGATTGTTTAGTGTCTGTCAATATTTTAGAACACTGCATTTTCATTGGTCGAATTACGTAGAAAGAGTCGTTCATTTAAACATATGTTACAGTCAGTTGACAGTGATTGATCACTCTTATCGACATGGGGGCGGGGAAGGCTGTTATCCGCAATGCACTTGCTGTTGGGATGCCACATTACGGTAGTTTCCTTCGCCGAGATCGACAGAATCCGCACAATAAAGACACATTCGCTGTGACTTTTTCTGGAAAGAAAGTAGCAAGTTTCAAACGTAATACAGCACGATTATTCGCGAACATATTGGACTTGAATTTAGCTGCTACCAAAGTCAAACAAAAGTCCGTCGTACCAGCAAAAAGAGTGTATATAAATGTGCTGTAAGACGTACCCTTGGGCTAAGTGGTCGGCGTACTCTTCGAATTCGTCTAAAAATCGCTTTAGGGTTATTCAGGTAAAATGATAACTAAACTTGCACGAACACTACAAAAGGTCCCTCCCGAAAATAACAAGTCCAACAAAAACGGACTCGCCGGCTAGCTGATTTAGAATATTTTCGTGTCGAAAGTTGACTCTACATTTTCCCAAACTGGGAACTGTACTGTATTCTGTGCAAGTGTGCTCGTGGGAGTATGATAATTAGTGTCGGAAGGTGTTCTTCCGTCTCCAGAAGATTGTGAAACTCGTGGAATACTAGAGAAAATAAGTTTGCAAATAAAACGTCCCCAAAATAAATACACTATATTGAGAAACACTGCCTAGTGTATTATTTGTGTTGTTTTCTACCTGCAAACAGAACCGCCCACTTTGCATAATCCCAGCTGTAATGAATGACATCACCGTTTTTATCAGCACAGACCGTCTCAAAACTCCATAGCGTTAAAGAAAACACGTATATAAATGTCGATTCATGATTTTTCTTGAAAACAACCTTCAAAGTAATTTATTTAGTATTAGCCCATTAACATTTTGCTGCTAAAACGGAAGTTAACCTTGATTGAAGAATTCATAAAAGTGCCAATTTTTCGGTGTTTGGTTTGAGACATACTGTTGGCCTAATTTAAAATAGCGTTTTAATTTTTGCAAGATTTAATTGTGTCATTTCCCAAACCACCGGTATACACTAATTGTAACACCAAAAAACATGATAGAAAATTCTAATTCTCATAAAAAATAAACAAACTTAATGTCAAAAATAGAAATACGTATTTAAACTTCATGACACTTGCCTCAAAACAGTGTAAATCATTCGACGCTAAAACAAACAAATTGTTGACAAAATTATAATGGAAATTACAAGTCAATTACGGGTTTCCAAACATATATAGATTGTATGGTTCCTTGTAAATTGTATTCCGATTATAGATATTTACATTTGTCATACCAATAAACTATCCTGCTACCTTAATTATATAACTTAAAACCCAGCACTCAGTAGATAAAAAAAAAACTTCACTCCACATCACTTACCGAATAATTTAGTGAAACAGGGATCCGTAAACATAGACTCGAACACGAG